ACTCCCCCTGCTTGTGTTCCCTCTCTCGCTGTGTCTCTCTCTGTCAAATAAATAAGTAAAATCTTAAAAAAAAAAAAAAGAAGTTACTTTGCTACAATCATCAACTATAAATAAAAGAGAAACTAGTAAGCACTCAAGTAATTGTTGAATATAGAAATGAACTATGAGGGCGCCTGGGTGGTTCAGATGGTTAAGCGTCTGCCTTCAGCTCAGGTGGGATGGAGGCCCACATCCGGCTCCTGGCTCGGTTGGGAGCTTGCCTCTCCCCCCTGCTCATGATCTCTCTCTGTATCTGTGTTTCAGATGAATAAATAAAATCTTAAAAAAGAAAAAAAAAAAAGAAAGAAATGAACTATGAGCTAGGTGCTGTGATACTGGGCTGCCCAAGATAGATATTACTCCTGACTTAATGAAATATACAGAACAGTCTAATGGTGAAATAGGCATTATACAAATAATTAATCAAAACTGTAACAGAAGTGCAGGGTGCTGTAAGAGTATGTTATTGAGTTCTCTAACTGAATCTAGGAGGATCAGAAAAGATTTCTCCACAAAAGTGACATTTAAGCATATTTTGAAGAATTGAGGGGCTGCTTTCCAGGCAGAGTAATTAGCTACAGCATGTACAAAGGCCTTGGGTGAGCTCTGAGCCTTTAAGGAATAGAGGGGGGGATAAAGAAAGAAAAAAGGAAAAAAAAAAAAAGATCAGCAAGCCACACCACTCATAACAAGAAAAAGTATAAAGACATGATGCTAGGGAAGGCCAGATCACACCTTGTTAAATGAAGAGGGAAGGCCTTAAAAGGAAAACAAGTTTTCAGGTAAGTGACTTGGTTAAATTTGTTTTATAAAATAAGACAATTCTAGCTGCTGTGAGAAGACTAGATGAGGATATACTGCTTAGGGTATGTATGTATGTAGTAAAAGTATAAAGAAGTACAAAGGAATAATAAATTCAATTAGTGATTACCTCTGGCAAGGAGGTCTACAATGGAGGTTGGGGGAAGGAGGATACAATCAGGTGGGGAAACACCTGACCTTTACTGGTAATATTTTATTTTCCTAAGCTGCAAGGTAGTTAAGTATTTATTATAGTATTATTTATTACTTTTTCTGTCTTAAATATCTCATACTACCCTCCCTTTTAAAAATAAGATCGAATGTGGAAAGACCATTTATAATTGACTATAATAATCTTAGGAAAAGGTGACCTAGACTAGGATGGGGAGACTAAAGGTAGAGAAAAATCACAAGTCTGGCCTCAGTAAGTTGTTGATAGAGCCACTCAATGAAATGGTACAGTGAAGGTCTAGGTTTGGAGCCACGATTAAGAGGTCAGTCTGGGCAGCTCAACTCAAAGTATCTCCGAAGCTAAGTAGAGATGTTGAGTAGGCAGCTGGGATCAGAAAAGAAGTCTGGAAGGCAGACAAAAATCTGGGAATATTCAAAATACATATTGTAACTGAAGCCACAGAATGGATGAAATTAGAGGACCAAGACTTGAGAAAGACCATCAATTAAAGATCTGGTAGAGGGGCACCTGAGTGGCTCTGTCGGTTAAGCGTCTGCCTTCAGCTCAGGTCATGAGTCCAGCATCTGGCTCCCTGCTCTGCGGGGAGCCCGCTTCTCCCTCTGCCTCTGCCTCTCTCATGAATAAATAAAATAAAATATTT